ATAACTCACATTTAAGTAATTAAAATCAATTAAGTTCTCGTACTCGGAACAGAATTCGCTATTTTTATGTGAAATTAGGTAACAATGTGCATTGCGTTTTAAAGTGATAAATTTATAAGAATTAGCAATGCAATTTGTAAAATTATTTAACGAAATCGTAAAAACTAATATATATATATATATATGTGTGTGTGTGTGTGTGTGTGTATTTATTCGCATACAAATATGATCTAGGCCTGTTCTTTATAAAATGCGTAACGTTTGAAATATCAGCGCCAGTTATACTTAATATAAATTAGTATCTATTTATCATCGTGAATTATTTGTGTAAATAATAAGCTTTTTATTCATATGTCAAAGACCCAAGTAAATAATATATCAATTTCGCTTATGTAAAGATACGGATAGTAATAATTCGGTATATTATGAGGTAATTTACGCCGAGATCGTAAATTTAGATGATATATGTTGTCACGTTCGTAGCATAATTATTCTCACACTTATATACGATCTGCAAACATTAACATAAAATAGAACGATCGTTAGAATCCAGTCAATTAAATTAATATAAAATGAAAGCGATCATATGATCCAATATCGTATAAGTTTCATATCAAAAATAATTTGTCGATTGTAAACGTACGTGAGTTATATAAATCAAGATTAAGGTCAGAAGTAAGAAATAGTTATTAATTATGAATTTATTTTCAAAAAACTTATATGAGGTAAACATGAAAAGCTGTGCATCTATGTAGCGTTTTTTAATACTAATCGAAAAAATGTTTGTGCAAATTTTGACTCCCTCACTTTCAATATTTTTTATAATTTACAAATTAAAAATGGTAAAAATCGTTCTTGGCAGTTATTTTTGAGTTTCTTGGCAACTGTGATATTAAACAATACACATTGGTTTCCCATTTCTATGTCTATTATAATCCAGGAATAGCACACTTTCTTAGATTTGAGGTTGGTTTATAAATAATTTTCTAATGTGATTTGAAATGAGAACTTCACAAAAAATTCTAAATATAATTTGATATCAGTATTCAAAAATAAAATGATTTATTCAATAATATTATATCGATTAAATGGCATAAATTCAAAATATCTATATTATGAAATGTTAATATATGTAATTGATTTAATTGATGGCAAGTAAATAATTATTTTGCTAGAAAGTATTACTTGATTTTCTTATTATGAATAAACATTTAAATCTTGATTTTTTTAAATTTGATTTAATTTATTTTAATTTAATAATATTAATATATTATTTATATTTTGTTATAATAAATCGCTTTTTCAAATTAATATTTTATTTAAAATTATTATGAAAGTTCAATTCATAAAAGAATAAATTTCAGTTTAATAATTATCATAATTAAAAATAGATAATTGCCATAGAAACGCTAGCATAGAAAACCTTCTTTACGTTCAACTGATACACTCATATAAAAATATTGACTTGTAAGATAAAAGAAGATTTTGTTGAAGTGTTTAATTTTTTTTCCCATTTTCCATAATGCTTTGACTCCAATATCATTTAATTCAGACTCCAAAGAGTATGGTTTTTGAAATCTCGATCATTGATATTGTATTTATTTCATTTTTATAATTTGAATTATTTTGCCTGCTGAAAGAGGTTCGAACCAATATTTATTATTATTATTCGATGCAGGCTGTAATATTATGAATATCTCAACTTCGAAAAAAAAACTATCAAAATATATATATATATATATATATATATATATATATATATATATATATAATATGCACGTACAAAGATATCAATTGTGTCGTACAAGAATATCTTGAAAATTATAATCTGGTATTGAATCCCCCTTCAATGATATTATAAAACGCTACTATAAAAATTGCGCGCGAGGACTTATAACGCATTACCCATGAGAATTGCATTTAATTTCTTACTTTCACAATCCATAAGGAATTTCAATGCAATAAAACCTTAATCCTAGGTCACAGATCCCTGTTATCTCATAGTACTATTGAGAAATATCGAACCAATTTATCTGCTATAAGAGTTAGTCCTCGATATAACTCTTCACGAGAAAGAGATACTAATATATGTACTTGCAGAGGGATCTAGATCTAATAATGAATTATGAACCACATTATTGATATTTTGCTACTTCTTATTGTAAGGCAATTCAATAATGAATGTAATAATGAATGTACTGTGCAATCTGATTTCTAATAGGTTGATTTTCAGTGCCACATTGCTGTAAAGTGTTAATAAACTCTACTTATCTAAAAGAGGAGGTCTTCAAATTCGAACTTTTTATTTAAGAATTCTTAAATTATAAGTAGGATCAGATCAATTTTTGTTTCGGTTTACTATCTTGATTTCAACTGGTATCTAGATTTAATGCTCATTTGATAGATTCTTCATTCAAAAACTTATATTCTTTAAGGAGTAGTGTTTGAAGTAATAATTGTTTGACATAAGAATTGTCAGAATGGCCTTGTCGGCGTGCAAGCCGGCGTAATTTAAATTTATCTGTAAGAAACTTGCAACATTAATCATCAAAAACGTAACTTAACGTAACTTTCATCAAAGGATCAATTTTCAAACTTACAACGTCTTTCATTACGATTGAGTGCAGTATTAAAAGAAAGATCGGTGTATATTTTCTTTCATTATGTAACATTTGATAAGTAATATTTTGTTTAATATTTTACAATACACTAATGTATCTTTTATAATTTTGAATTACTCTATATTTCTATAGAGTTAATTCTATATCTTCTAACTAGGCTAAGAAAAGTAAATATGACTGAGCGGATATTTAATTTAATCTTCAATAATTACTTTTAATTCATTTTCAATTGATGTTGGTACTTCCAATTTATTTTTGACATTGTTTTAAAAGTTATGGGCTTTAAACCAAATATCTCCATAAATAAGGAAGAAAACTAAATCTGTTTAGAAGATAAAAAATCTGTACAGAACCTTTTCTTCGCTGCTACGCATTGTAAATTTTCTCCCTCAAGGCTTTATGCCCGTGGTTCCCAACCCGTGGGGCGCGGCCCCTCAAGGGAGCGTACAACTGCTCTCATAATGCTACTTTCGAAAATATACTGAAAATGTTGAATTTATATAAAACATGTATGAATCAATATTATTTTTTTCATGAAAGTTAGAAAGATTAAGAGAGGCGCAATATTTTTTCTGGAGAAACGGTGGGGTATTGAAGGGTTGGAACTCACTGCTTTACGCGGTAGAAGAATTTACCACCCTACATGCATTGAATAAAATTCTTTTTAGGCGCCAATGAGTCGCAATCCGCTAAACAATAAGTCTAGTAATAATGTATGGTAACTGAAGGCCAAAACTTATCACATCCTTTTAAAATTCTATATTTTCTAACGCCTAATCCGATATCTATGTACAAATATAGCGTATCATATTCATATGAATAATAATATATACCTGTAATAATATATAGCTGAATGTACTGTGTATAGTTTGCTATGAACAATAAACCAAAAAAAAAAATTCATGTGTGTGTTATTATAACACAATACCAACGATAATAAAGTATGTTGGTGGGCTCCTTTGTAGTCAAAACGCTTGATAGTTATATTAATTAATTTCATATGCCATTTAAATTTTATGAGGCATTCAAAATGTTATGAATTGCAGCTATTCCGAATGTCAATTTATATTAATAATGATAACGATAATGACTAATAAAAAATGCAGCCAAGTGCAAGACGGTCATTAAATAAGAGAAATATATTTTTGAGGAAATATACAGTACGATAGAAAATTAGGATTAACGTAAGTATGTAAGATATATATCAATTTACAAATATACCTACACGTCAATCTCATATATAAAAATGGAGCTCTCGATCAAATGATCCGCTAAAACTCGAAAATGGCTAAACCGATTTAGCCAGTCTTAGTCTTGAAAAATTCGTGCCAATCCAGAGATTGTCAGAAAGGTGAGATATTATTTTAAAATCGCGTAGAAACTTTACATTTTTAATTTGAAATTTTTTGTAGAAGCGTAATTTAAATAAAACAATGGACGGTGGCTAATTCGTCAAATGTCAAACGTTTTTGACAGATGATGCTCAATTACGTTTAATAGGATGTTTTACGTGAAAATTATTTAATTATGGTTAAATTGTAGTAAGTAGTTTTATATATATACAAAACGTTATGCGGATCGAAAGTGTTACTAGAAACTTAAAGTATTAACTTTTTTGAAATGTTAATATGAAAATGCACTTTTTGGCATATTTTCCTCAAACACGGTGCTCCGAAAGATCTCATTTGTATAATTATATACTCATTGGTATTTATAAAACCATTTTTAGGTTATATTATTTTTTATTTGTGTTATTTAAATACAAAATTTGGCATCGATCAAAGAGACATTTAGTCGACTAACATTTTTCCAGTTAAAATTTCCCAGAATTTATCGAAGAATAAATAGTAATATATGAAGATCCGGGGGTGAAAAAGTCCACCACCAATGTGTCAAAAACCAGTAAAGTTAAGCATTGTTTAACAACAATATTTGAAAGTAGAGGGAAAAAGATGTATAACCAGCTATAACCTCGATTCTTATGACTTTGCTATCGAGATATAATTGCGAAAATTAAGCTAATCGGGCAATATTGCGGAAAGGCAATGGAAAACTTTCCAGAGTATAAGAAATACAAATCAAATCGCTTATTTCTCTCACCATAAGTCTGTTTTATATTCCCTTTTTTACCAGCAATTAGAACTAAAGTTCCGTGAGCTATTGTGATCGAACTTCTTCTTCTAATGCTGTATTTAGATAGTAACCCAACTTATATTTGGTTTTTTAAATTAATCAAATAGTGATCATATATTATTTAGTTGCACCAATGCACCAATTCGCGGCTATATCCAAGTCATTACAAATACATTATAGCTAATATTGCGTGTTAATACATTATAACTAATAATAAGTCACTTCCTAAATTAATTTAAAACTTACCACCGCCATTTTTGTAACAAAGATAAGGAAATCTCCAGACATTAGCCAGATCGACAGCGAAGCCGATGACGCTCAGCAAAAAGTCCACTTTGCCGCCCCAGGTCTCGCGATCTTCGCCCGGCGAGTGCGGGACACCGCCAGAGCCCCGCACCGACCCCAATGCCTTCGCCACCTGCGAAGACATCTCATCGATCTGCAAAATAATATTGAAATTTTCAAATATTGCTTCATTGGTGGTTGAGGTGAAGATTCTTTAAAATATCAACTTTGACATAATTTCGATTTTTTTGAAAACTGATCAATTATCATCTATTTTGAACATTTCTCATTGAATTTTGATCGAAAATTTTCTGAGCTTATAGGAAACCTTAAGTTTATCCGCTCTATACGCTACAACTTTTTCAATATTAAAAATTCTTAGATATTGGCGACGAAATGGTTACCACCGATAAAACTAAATGCATCAAGTTATCGATCGATTCTTGCATTTCTGCGCTGATTTGCAAAATTATAAAAGAAGTAGTGCACATAGGGAAATGTCTTGCAGAGAAAGAAATTTTAGTAAAAAAATGTAGTTTAATATAAAAATCTAAAGATAAAACTGTTTCTAGGGAACTAAAAAATTTTCCACAGCTTTTGAAAACTCACTCGATTCGCTAAGCGTTACACAATATAATTCAAAAATGAATGTTTGTATTTTTCTCGTTTTTTTTATAAATTAATGGATTAATGAAAAACGCAGTAGATCAATACCTTTATTATCAAAATATGAAACCAAGTCAGTTTCAGATTAGGCTGGCTCTGCAATAACTATTATGACCCAGAAACATATATATGTAGCATGCGTTGCAGTGGGTAAACTATAAATGTAATTTTTGTTTGCTACCCCTTTCGTTTATATAACACATACCTCTATATCAGGAATATGTTATTTTTTATTACAAAAATGTACCAGAAATATTTTTCATTGCCAAATAACGTTTGCAGGAAAACTACCTTAAATATGTATATGTATCAGAGATGGGCTTTATACATCCGAAGCCGGATCGGTTAGGATTTGTCTCCGCTTCAGAGAGGAGTTATATCCACTTAACAACTCCACGACTCCGACAACTTTGAAACATAATACTTGACACAAATGTGTTCTCTAGTGTGTTGTTAACATATCTAAGGATTTATTAAGACTTTGGAAATAGTTTACAAATATTTCAAACATTTTTGTTCATTTTATTATAATAATTACTATTTTATGCATTTCAATATGCATACACACACAAATCTCAAATTGACAACAAACTTGGGAATCAAAATCAATTTTGTAATTATTTTTTAAGAGAAAATATAGAATTCTTTCAATTCATTTATTTTTATATGAAAATGATGCAGTAAACCTTATAAATGAAATAAGAACAAATCTTTGTGTATAATATTTTTCACAAAATAATAATACCTCACATTCTTTAAATATTTCCTTTTCGAGAATTAATTATACATCAGGTAGTTTGAATAACATTCTATTACTTATACACAATTATAAAATCATAATCGTGTAAAAGTTATAATATAACACTAAATATTTTTTAGCTGGTTGTATACCATTGAAAAAGCTCATTTACGGACAAACATAATCGTATACAGAATATAGAATACAAAATAGCATAATTTTGAGACATTATATACCTGGAAAGTCCTAAAACTGAGGCGAGAAAAAGACCACTTCTTACGACCCAAATCTTTGTATTGATAAAAAATCTCAAGCAAATATCTACACATTCACTCCGAGGAAGAAGTTGTATCGGAGTGAGTTACTCATCTCTAATATGTATACATATCAAAATTTCTCATTTGATAAGTCTATTACAAATTACCAAAGATAAAAAGTAACAATTCAGAAATGTCACATATTATAACAAAACTTATAAAATTTTATGTGGCGTGTAGAATTTATACACGTGTATAAAATGAGGCATTTCAAGAGCACTGTTTTCTAAAACAAAGCCTTTGATAGTACCATGAAATAGTTTTGCGAGTTTTAGTATTTAGCATAGACTACGTAATGTAGGCTGAAGGGCCTAAAACTTAAAACGATATGCGTTATGTATATTAAGAATAATACTCAATAAACATTTGTACATTTTCATTTCGCATGCATTATTATTTTTTCTAAATGAACTTATTTCTTATCAATGATAACATCATGTTAGTAGATAAAATGGTTGTTTCAAATGGTTTAAACTAAAATAGAAGGAAAATCATGAATCTCGTACTTGGAGAAAGTACTCATATTACCCACATTAGATCACAAATTAGATTAATTTAGGGAATGGAAAAAGCCAGCAACGATACAATTCTATAAGTTCCGTTTGATACAATCCCCTAAAAATTAAGTATTTATTAGATCTTATTATGTCCACGCGCATCATAGTGAATCAATTTATCAATAATTACTGAATTAATTCATTTCATATATAAAACATCTTATTCTAAAAAAAGTGGTATCAACTTTGTTTGTCGTGTATCTATTTCACAGATTATTTCGCGTTAAAGTTGGCTGTGAGCACTGTTGTTTAGTTTACACGTTCAAAGTTGTAAGACAATTCTAAACAAAGAATAATAAAATGATTTTTATGTTTATAATATAAATAAACTATAAAAAAGTCGTAGATACATTTTACTTAAGATTAGAGTAGAGTGGAGCTTCCCGGGTGCACCGGTCCAACACCGATATCTCAAAAATAAGTAAAGATTTTTTTAGCAACAACATTTGAAAACACGTATCAAACAAACAACAATCGAACTATGTTCAGTATAATTCCCAACTAGTTCCTTATTATAGAAATAAGTTTTGTAGCTATATTTCTAAAATTAGTCATCTGTCTCTTTTTACCCCATCATAAACCGAGTAGAAAGAGGACCACCAGGGAGCAAACAGATCCATCCAAGTTATAGTAATCGCAAAAAAATCGAAAATGAAAATTTTTATATATCTTTACGATTCAGAGTTTTCTGAACATTTTGGCATACCTTAGAATAAAATTGATGTATGTGTGTGTGTGCGGATTCAAATTTTCGTCGATGATTTCGGGAACACGGTTCAACCAATTTCAATTTTTCAAAAAACATTCGATTGCATTTGATAAGGATACGTGCTTATTAGTTTTTGGCAAAAGCAGGTCTAGCCGTTCCGAAGATACGGAAAATATGCACATCAAATTAACAGATATTTATAGAATTTTAACAAAAAGTATAAATTTTGTTTACAATCTTATCGGTTCTGTACCAATGTTTATCCGTTAGACGGCGACGCAGCGCTTACGCGCTTTGATATGACGTCTCTATGCAGTTAAAGCATTGCTATGAAAAAAAGTTCAGAATTTCCAAAATATTTCAAAATAAGGAAAACATGTATTTTCAAAAAGTCTTTTTTTTTCAAAAAAAAGTTAATTGTTGTCAAAAATCTAATTTTTTCAAAGTAAATTTTTTTCAAAAATGTTAATCTGTTAAAAAAAAAATGGTACGGGAAGTTCCAGCAATTTGCCTTAAAGCACGATGCCATGCGCCCCACTAGTTTTTAATTAATTGCAAAGAGATTTAACAAAATAATAGCTACATTATTTTACTAATGCAAAAAACTAATTTCAAAGGCACATTTTTTACAGAGATAACACTGTATATAACCTTGATCTGATATTTCGTAAGAAATATTCATTAGCGCAGTTAGAATAACTAATAATTTATTTTATATTTGCTTTAATTAACTTAATTTACATTTTTATTTACTATTTTTTATTGTTCACGCCTTTGCCGGAGTAAAGGTTCAGTCGGTCCTTTTTAACCCATAAACAATTTTTAGAAGTTATATGCAAAAAAACTGTTAAATTTATCTTAAAAACAAAAACACATCTTGTAAAACATTAAATTACGTATACTTCAATATTATATTCAACTCGCGTAAACTAAACTACAGTACTCACAACAAAAATACTTTTGCTATAGATTTTCAAACATTGCTGTTTATCCCCTGATAACGACATCGCAAGATACAAGGTGGTATATGGTTACAAATCTTTTTCCCTCTACTTTCAAATATTGTTGTTAAAAAATTCGTAACTTTACTTGTTTTTGAGATATAGGCGGCTCCTATAGTTTTTATTCGAAAAATTTCTTTTCAAACTAGTTGGTTTGGTATTTAGCCTTGAGGCAAGTTACATGAACTTCCCGATATATGTAAATAATCGACTCAATCAATAAAAAATAAATTAATTTATGAGTGATTAAAAGTATTTCGAGTGGTTTTATTACACATAATTGAAAACCAACAAACACGTTAATTGGAGTATTTTCTAAAAGCAAATTTTCAAAAATCAATATTTTTTTAATTGAACCAGCTTCCGTAGGACTTTAATTATTTATTACGTTTATTAAGACCAAGTACTCTATCGTTATACCAAGTGAATCGTCTAAGTTTAATTTTAACAAACGTCAAAAAACTACTCATCACAAACTTTGATGAATTTTTAAAATTAAACTACTTGTCGTAAGGCCGTAATAATTCAGTAAGTTCTATAAGACCATGGTATATATCGCCAAAAAAAGTTCCATAAACATCGTCTTAACTTTTTTTTTCAACAGTTAATTACAAGAAAACGGCTCGGTAGATTTTCACCTAAAACTAATCAGTATCATTCTCAACTAATATCTTTCGAACAGTTTTTGATTTTTGAAAATCGATTCGGTAGAATGAGCTTAAATGTGGACGAAAAGTTTAACACTTTTTTCCAAATTTCAAAGAAACGGCTCGGCCGATCGTCGCACAAAAGTGACGAGCGATAGTCCTCATTGAGTCACATCAAGTGGTTTTTAAATTTCTGAAATCGGTTCAGGCGTTTTTGAGCAATCGTCGATGAAAGGTCTAATTTTGACAAATGCCAAAAGAACGATACTAACTTTGACGAATTTTTAAAGCTAAACCAATTGTCGTAGGGCCGTAATATTTTAGTATGATCTAGAAGACTACGGTATCTACCGTCAAAAAAATAGTCATCAAAATCGTCGAAAAAAAATTTTTAACACTTTATTACAAGAAAACGGCCCGGCCGATCTCTACCAAAACCTAATCAGCACGATTCCCAATCAATATCTTTCGAACGGTTTTTGAATTTTCAAGATCGATTCACAACTGCGGGCTAAAACGTGGACG